TTACTTCTAAAAATCTCAGCTGCTCAGGAGGCTGAGGCAGGAGGATAACCCGTTCAAAGGCAGCCTCAGCAATTTAGAAAGGCTCTAAGCAACTGACCGAGACCCTGTCTCTAAAAAGGGGTTGGGGAATGTGGTCCAGTGGTTAAGCACCTCTGAGTTCAATCCCTGGTATCAAATAAAATAAAATTTCTGGATCAGTCTCAGCAACTTAGCAAGACCCTGTCTCCAAATAAAAAACAGAAAGAAAAAAAAAAAACTGGGGATGTAGCTCAGGATAAAGCACCCCTGGATTCAATCACTAACACCAAAACAAGAAAAAAAATTGCTGTTTGTGAATGAACTGCCTCTACCATCATTCTCAGATGCTCCCAGCCACTCCAATATGCAACTGTAATCCAGACAAGCCTTCACTATGTTTTTTACCCCAAAGCCTGTCCTTCTCTGCTTGATTTTTCCTTAAAATTTTTTTTAAAAAAATTGTCTACATGAAGCTGAGGGGTTACCAAGATCTCATGCACCCTTCCCATTATTTTTGACCATTTTTCAAATTTTCCCTAATGAAGAAGAAGAAAAAAAAAGACAGTTAAGTGCCTAGTCATTCAGTCTCATGCTATGGGAAGATTAGTGCCTCCCAAGACCCTGGCTGTGACTTCCTGCTCCCACTGACTATTGGTCTCTAGTGACTCTTACCTCCTGGGTTTAATATCGTCTCAAACATTGCACAAGGCCCCTTCTTTTTATTTTTTTTTCACTTAATGTTCCAAAGCTACCACTAATACAAGGTTACTGTTTATAACCCACTTTTAATAAGGGGTTGGAGTTAAACACTTCAATAGTTAATGTTAGGCATGCCTGTTTTTAAATTCCCTTGTCCATCCCTGTCATTAATCATCCTTTTTCCTTGGGCCCTGACCTCCCAGTAGGCTTCTGGGCCCTCTCTTCACCAAACTAGGCACAACTCCCCACCGAGTTCCCTTTCCAGGCCCCTGAGGCCCTGATCTCCTGGGAAACTCAAGAATTCCCCTTCACCTACTAAACACAACCAATCAGCCCTCTCTTTGTTTCACCCTCTCCTTGCAGAACTGCTGAAATCACTTTTTCAAATTGAAGATATCCATCAGGTAATTTTCTTAAGTAAAACTCTTATCTTTTCTGAGCTGAACTGACAGTCCCCTTGTAAGTTGCCAGAAACAATCAATGCAGATAGTTTTTCGTTTTCAATAGCAATGTCTTTCTTCCTACCATGCCAAGATGCAAAGACCCTATAATCCATGCAACAGCACGTTAAAATGAGTCAATTTTTGTGTCGGTTTTAGTTAAGGCCTAATGGTCAACAAGTACCAAGGCTCATGATATTCCTAATGGAGTCCATGCAGGTAGGACTCCCAAAGGAGTAGCTAAAGGTACTTGCAGAGTCTTAACTCAAAACCCGACTTAAGGATTTGGAAGGATGTAGTAAAGAGCATCTAAGATTTATCTGGAAGCTGAACACAATGGTACATGCTTGTAATCCCAGGTACTCTGGAAGTTGAGGCAGGAGGCAAGTTCAAGGTCAGCCTGAGAAATTTAGTGAGACCCCATGTCAAAATAAACAATAAATGGGGCTGGGGTGTAGCACTCATGGCTTCAATCCCTAAGTACTGAGAGAAAGAGAGAGAGAGAGGAAAAGGGAGGGAGGAGGAGAAGAGAAGAAGAAAGGAAAGAAATTACATTATAGGTAAAAGAATTATGAATTATATATGAAAAATTATATTCTATGCCCTACATAATTTTAAAATAATCAGAAAATAATGTGAAAAACTCACTTCTGATATGTTTGGAAAATTCAAAATAAAATGGACAAATCTCTAGAGAATTTCAACTCTCCAGAAGTTATATGAGAAATACAAATATGAATAGAACTTTAACAATAAAAAAATATAATTGGACTGGGGTGTAGCTCAATGGTAGAGCACTCATGGCTTCAATCCCCAGTACTGAGAGAAAGAAAGAAAGGAGGAAAGGAGAAAAGGAGGAAAGAAAGGAAGGAAGGAAGGAAGGAAGGAAGGAAGGAAGGAAGGAAGAAAGAAAGGAAATAAATTACATTATAGTATACAAGAATTATGAATTATATATGAAGAATTATATTCTATGCTCTACATAATTAAAAAAATCAGAAGATACTGTGAAAAACACTTCTGATACATTTGGAAAATTCAAAATAAAATGGACAAAATCTCCAGAGAATTACAACTCTCCAGAAGTTACATGAGAAATCAAATATGAATAGACCTTTAACAAAAAAAAAAAAAATGTACTGGGGTGTAGCTCAGTTGTGTAGTACTTACCTAGCGTGTGTACAGCTGTGGGTTCCATCTCCAACACCATTTTAAAAAGGAACACAAAAAGTAAAGAAAAGGAAAATAAGTAAAAATAATAATTAATATTGTCATTTAAAATCTTTTTAATGAAACTGCAGGTCTATATGAATTTATCAGCTAATATTATCAAATGTTTAATAAAAATGCCAATCTTATATAAAAAAATCATAAGATAATAATATAAAATTTCAAAACATCAAGAACAAGGAGAAGATCTTAAAAGCTAAAGGATCAGGAATCAGAACAGTATCAACAGAAACACTGAAAACCAGAAGATAATAGAGCAATGTTTATAAAACTCTGAAAAAAGATAATTTCCAACCTAGAAGCTCTCCTGAATTAAAGCAACAAACAAAATCTTAGGGCCTACTAAAGATATTGTCAAAATTCTTAATTCAGCCACTAAAACAAGGCTTTTTGAAGAAAATAAAGCAACAATTTCATAATATTAGAGAGGCAAATTTTTTGTAGAATACAAAAAATGCTAATCCTTTAAAACTTAAAAAATTGGACTGCACCAAAATTTAAAAATGAATTTTTACAAATAGTTGTTAAAACTAACTGGAAAACCATAATTTGAAAGAGAATATTTGAACACACATCTCTGGCAATAGAATTTGCCTCCAAAATATATTAATAACTTTTACAGCTCAATAATAACCTAATAAAAGTGAGCAGAAAGCTTGGGTAAACACATGAAATTATGCTTGTCATCAGTACTCATCAAGGAAATGCAAACTAAAAAAAAAAACAAAGCACCAATACATATTTACTGAAATAGCTAAAATAAAAGAAATTGATAACAACAAATGTTGGAAAAGATTTGGAGCAAATGGAAGTATTCCATATTGCTGGCTGGAATGTAACATAGTATAGCTGACTTGGGAAAACAATCTGGTTCTTTCTTTAACCTGTTTATAAAGGTTAAATGTACATTTATTTTATGACCTAGCATTAATTTTCATTTCCAGGTATCCAAAAGAAATAAGCATACATGCCCACAAGAATGTTCACAGAACTGAAAATGATAATACCCAAAATAAAGAGTTTAATGGATGGGCTAACCAACAGCATAGGGGGGCAGAGAAAATGATCAGCAAACTTAAGGAAAGGACAATGGAAAACACACTCTGTAAAAAGCAGAGGGAAAGAGACTGGAAAAAAAATTAAAAGAGCCTTAAGGAGCCATGAGATTATAAAAAAAGATCCACCATTCATGTCATTTAAGTCCTAGAGGGAAGGGAGGATGAGGGTGGGTTTAAAAAATTACCCCAAGAAAATAATGGCTGAACTTTTCTCAAATTTGACAAAAGGTATAAACCTTCATATATAATAAGCCTGAGCAAACCTCAAGCAGAATAAACACAAATAAATTTACTTCAATATACATAATAATTAAACTTCTGACACTAACAAAATCTTGAAAACAAACAGAAGAAAACAATACTTTACCCACAAAGCAAAAACAAATTAAATAACAATGGATTTATCAGAATCCATGTGGAATAAAAAGAAGTGGCATAATATTTTTTTAGCTGATAAAATTTAAAAACTGTCAACTCAGAGTCCTGTATCCAGGAAAATACCCTTCAGGCATGAAGGGAATATCAACATATTTTCAGATGAAGGAAAACCAAGATGACTTGATATCAGGCAACCTACTCTTTTAAAAAATAACTAAAAGAAGTTCTTTAATCAGAAAGGAAATGATGACAGAAGGAAACTTGGAATACCAAGAAGCCAGAAAGAACATAAAAAGCAAAAATATGACTAAATAAAAGAAGCTTCCTGGTTGTGGTGGTGAACACTTATGATCCCAGATCTGAAGCCTGAAACAAGAGGATCACAAGTTCAAGGTCAGCATGGGCAACTTAGCAAGGCCCTGTCTTAAAATAAATATTAAAAGGATTGGGGAAGTAGCTCAGTGGTGAAGCACCCTGGGTTCAATCCCTAGTACCGCCACCCCCAAAAAAAAAGCTTTCTCCTCTTAAATTTCCTAAACTATGCTCAATGCCTGAAGTACAAATTATAACATTTTCTAATATGATTTTTTTCCCATAGCTTTATTGAGGTATATTTGAAGTACAATAAAATTGAAGTAGAATAAAATTGAAGTATGCAATTTGATCAGTTTTAACATGTATGTAACTAATAAAATTAATATAAAAACATTTACATTACTTTTAAAAAAGATTGAAATCATGCAGACTGTGTTTCCTGCATGATATACATTAGAAATCAATTACCTTAAGATATATAGAACCCTACCCCCACATGTCAACTCTTTCAAAATTAAATAGTACAGTTATAAATATCTTAGAAGTCAAGGAAGAAAGCATAAGAAAAGTAAATAAAAAGTGCTTTGAACTAAGTGATAATAAAAGCTTAAAATATCAAGATCTCTGGGAAGATGCTGTACTCAGATGAACATTTATAACTTAAAGTACTTCTATCAGAAAGAAGCTAGAATAACAATTCAGTTTACTTTCAAATTTTATAGTAGGAAGGAAAAAATAAGCGTAAGAGCAGAAATATATGAAATAGAGAAGAAATAATATAGTTAAAATTTGATAAAAATCAAACAAGTCTAATCAAGAAAAAAGCAAGAACACAAAAATTAATACCAATGGAAAGTGAGCTACCAAATTAACCCTACAGTTGTTAAAAATATATTAAGATAATATTATAACTTTATGCCAACATATGTGATAGCTTACATAACGCGATCTATATTACAGAAGGACCGTATGCTGCTGAGAAGAAAGTGTATTCAGTCATTGATGGATGAAATATTCTATATATATATATCTGGTAAGTATAAATTATCAATTTTATTTTTTACTTCTATAGCTTATTTATTTAGGGTCCTTCTTTTTTTTTTTTTTTTTGGAGGATCTATTCAGTGGTGACAGAGGCATGTTAAAGTTACCCAGTAACATTGTGTTGTGGTCTGTTTGATTCTTGAAATTGAGAAGGATTTCTTTGATGTACATAGATCAAAGGATTTTTTATGATGTACATACATAGATGCTCCACTGCTTGAGGCATAAATGTTTATGATTGTTATGTCTTGTTGATCTATAATTCCCTTAAGCAGTATGAAATGGCCTTCTTTGTCCTTCTGATTAACTTTGGCTAAAGTCCACTTTATATGAGGATAGAAATCCCTGCTTGTTTATTCATATCAGTGATACATTTTTTCCCATCCTTTCACCTTCAGCCTGTGGATGTCTTTGCCTATGAGGTGAGTCTCTTGGAGACAGCATATTATTAGGTCTTGGTTTTTAACCCAATCTGCTAGTCTGTGTGTTTTGATTGATGAGTTTAGGCCATTAATGTTCATGGTTATTATTGAAATATGATTTGTGTTCCTGGTCATTTGGGTTTATTTCTAATTTTTAATTTGAATTAGTTTCTCCTTTGATTGACTGTTCCTTTAGTGTATTTCCTCCCTTTGCTGGCTTTCACTTTTTTTTTTCATTTCATCTTTATGGAATATTTTGTTGAGAATGTTCTGTAGTGTAAGCTTTCTATTTGCAATTTTTTTTAACTTTTGTTTATCATGGAAGGTTTTTATTTCATCCTCAAATCTGAAGCTTAATTTTCTGGATGTAGGATTCTTGGTTGGCATCCATTTACTTTCAGAGCTTGGTATATGTTATTCCAGAACCTCCTAGCTTTGAGGGTCTGGGTTAAGAAACCAGATGAGATCTGAATTGGTTTCCCCCTGTATGTAACCTGATACGTTTCTCTGGTAGCATTTAAAATTCTATCCTTATTCTGTATATTAGGCATTTCATTATAATGTGCTTTGATGTGGGTATGTTGTAATTTTTTATACTTTGGGGTCCTGTAAGCCTTTTGCATTTGATTTTCCATTTCATTATATACGTTTGGGAAATTTTCCGATGTTGTTTCATTGAAAAGATTGTACATTTCTCTAGTTTATGTCTGCATATCTTCATCTATTCTACTAAATATTAAATTTGGTCTTTGCATGTTATTCCATAGTTCTTGGAAGTTCTGTTCAGGTTTCTTAACATCTTCTGTCCATGGTCAACTTTATTTTCAAGATTATATATTTTGTCTTCATTGTCTGAGGTTCTGTCTTCCAAGTTGTATAGTCTGTTGGTGATACTTTCTATTGAATTTTTAATTTGGTTTATTGTTTCCTTCACTTCAAGGATTTCTGCTTGGTTTTTTGTTTGCTTGTTTTCAGAATCTCTGCCTCTTTATTAAAGTGATCTTTCACTTCCTGTATTTTCTCTCTGATTTCATTTCTTATTACCATCCTTTAGTTTGCAGATCAGTTTAATTATATACATGCTAAACTCCTTCTCTGACATTTCTTCCATTGTAGTGTCAATGGATTCTGTGCCTTGGTTTTTTGGGGTGATTTGTTTCCTTGCTTTTTCACGTCATTTGTGTGTCTACTTATCTAACATTATGGATTTGAGGCAGTAGAGTTTCTATCCTGTGGACTTACAGTGTCCCTGAAGGTTTCTAGTACCTCACTGTTGAGGGGGAGACAAATAATAACAACAATCAATGCAAACAGTTTACAGCATTAAACAAAAGAGTTTCTAATATGACATCTACAATGTCAATTATCACAATAAACAGAAATGAAATGATCAGTTATGCCTATAATAAAAACAGCAAGTTTGCAAAAGGGTTTACAATTTCAAATGGTAAACAGGGAGAGAACAGATGTGATAAAGGATGTAATGATTTTGAAGGAGGAGGAGAGAAGACAAAAGTAAAAGATTAAAGGGAGAGTGAAAGAGAAAAATAGAGATTGGCTTTTAGCAGAAGAAAGGAGAGAATCAAGGGAAACAGGTAGGAGGAAAAAATATATATATAGTAAAAATTTTAAAAAATAAAAATAAAAGAATAAAAAGCAAAACTAAACTTATTAGTCAAATATCCTAGTTCACAGAAAACTAATCATAGTTAAATATCCTAGTTTACAAAAAAAAAAAAACCTAATTTATGAAAAATAACTAGATTCAAAAATGCTAGAAATGAGAAAGAAACCAAATATTACTATGTATAAATGTTCATGTACCTTTAAGGTCACAAATTAAACAGAGAAAAAGAATTTTTTAAAAATCTGAATGAAGTTCAAGAATTCTTTCCATTGGAGTTCAAAAGATTCTCAGCTTCTCTTCCCAGCAGTTTTAGGTTGGGTCACCCGGAGTATGATGTTCCCCTCTCTGGATTGCTGGAGTGAGAGAGGTGATCCCATCGGTGGAATTCCTGGAGGCAGGGTTTAGGCTTAGGTGGGTTCCAGGCTCTTTACTAAATGCCAGTTAGTCTGGAGATTTTAAACCAGTGCACCTCGTACCCGGTATTTGCTGGTCCATGCAGGAAGACTGTACCCCAGGGATCCCCTCTGAGTTCCACTTGTGTGGTGGGGGACCCAATTCTTAGACCACTACGTCACCTTGGACCCCATGTTTCCTGGTCTCTGCTTCAGTCTCCAGACATTCTCTCCTGCCCTGGCTCTTCCAAGTTCCTGGCCAGATGTGTCTCTCCCTGCCAGTCCTGCAAGCAGTCAGATTGGAGGAAAAGCCAGGTGGGTTTCCATGACCAGTTGTCCCCTGTGTAAATCTCTCTCCACATTTGATTTTTCTCCTGGTCACTTGAGCACACTGTGTCGTGCAGTGTGTGTTTACTGAGGCTGTATTTTGAGCCAAACTCAGGTTTGCCAGGAATCGGCCCCCGTAGCTGCTGGTCCCCAGGCAGCGGCTGCAAGATAGTTTCCTCCTTTGTCCTCTGCACACTGCCTGGGGAGATGGCAGTTTATTTCCCTGCACATGGATGTTGTGCAGCATCTTTCAGGTTTGCCAGGCAATGTCCTTGATTTCTAAATAAAATACTGTCTCTAAATAAAATACAATAGAGACTATCTCTAAATAAAATACAAAAAAAAAAAAGTGCTGGGGATATGACACAGTGGTTAAGTGCCCTGGGTTTAATCCCTAGTTTTATATATGTCTTTTAGCCATGCACGGTAGTGCTAGAGGCTGAAGCAAGAGGATGGCAAGTGCAAGCCCAGCCTCAGCAACTAACTAATGTCTCAAAAATAAAAACAAAAAGGGCTGGGGTTGTAATTCAGTGGTAGAGTGTCCCTGGGTTCAATCCCACTACTGGACAGGTGTGGTAGAGTACTTGTTTTCTTGCCCTTTCTTTATTTTTTTGTTTGTTTGTTTATTTGAGACAGGGTATCATTAAGTTACTCAGGTTGGCCTGGAACTTGCAATCTTCCTACCTCAGCCTATATAGTACCTAGAGTTACAGGAAAGCACCACCTGATTTGTACCCCATAGGTTAATTTTACCTAGTCTAAATCTTCTTAAGAGCAGGATCATTGGGACTGGGGGGTGGCTCAGTGGTAGAGTGCTCGCCTAGCACACGTGAAGCCCTGAGTTCAAACCTCAGCACCACATAAAAATGAAATAAAGATATTGTGTCCACCTACAACTAAAAAATAAATATATAAAAAAAAGAGCAGGATCATGCATTATGTACATTTTTAATATAAGACAATATAGATGTATTTTTGTAATTCCTTTTTTATTTTTATTTTCTTGTATTTTAATTTTATTGGTGCCTTATAGTCTTACATAATGGTGAGGTTCGTTGTTCTATATTCAAGCACGTACACAATATGACAATATAATTTGGCCCATATCATTCCCAAGCACTTCCCCCTGCCCTTCCCTTCTTTCACCTCCCTTTTTCCTCTCTGCTTCCACATAGGAGAGAAAACATAAGAATCTGACCTTCTGAGTTGGGCTTATTTTGCTTGACATAATGTTCTCAAGGCCCACCCATTTTCCTGAAAATGACATAATTTTACTTTACTTTTCTTTTTCTTTTTTTTATTTTTAAAAAAATCTTATTTAGAAGAAAACGAAATTATTTTCAAACTTATTTTGACAAGCAGCTACAGGATATTCAGTACCTGACAGTGAACATCAGGTCTCGCAACATAATTTCATTTTTCTTTATGGCTGAATAAAACTTCATCGTGCGCGTATTACCACATTTTCTTTATCTATTCATCCTCTGATGGACACCTAGTCTGGTTCCATAGTTTGGCTATTACTATTATGAATTGTGCTGCTATAAACATAAGTAGGACTGTATCACTATAGTATGCTGACTATAATTCTTCAGGATAAATGTCAAGGAGGGTATAGCCGGGTCTTATGCCGGTACCCTTTCTCATCTTTTGAGGTGCCATAGAGGTTGTTCAAGTTTACAGTCACACCAACAGTGTAAGTGTTCCTTTTTCTCCACATCTTCTTCAGCATTTATTGTTTGTTTGTTTGTTTGTTTTTAATGCCAGTATCTGTTTTTGTTACTATAGCCTCTGTAGTATAATTGGAATTCAGGTATTATGATGCCTCCACATTGCTTTTTGGCTTAGAATTGCCTTGGCTATTCTAGGTCTTTTAGTCTTCCAAACGAATTTTAGGACTGTTCTTCTCTGAAGAAAGTAATTGGTATTTTGATGGAGATTGCATTGAATTTGTATATTGCTTTTAGTAGTATAGACATTTTAACAATATTAATTCATGCCTATTCATCTTCTTGTGTCTTCTTCAGTTTTTTCCTCCAATGTTCTAAAGTTTTTAATCACAGAGGTCTTTCACCTCCTTGTTTAGATTTATTCTTTTTTTTTTATAAAGAGAGAGAATTTTAATATTTATTTTTTAGTTTTCGGCGGACACATCTTTGTTTGTATGTGGTGCTGAGGATCGAACCTGGGCCGCATGCATGCCAGGCGAGCGCGCTACCGCTTGAGCCACATCCCCAGCCCTAGATTTATTCTTAGGTGTGTGGGGAGAAGGTGTTTTGTTTTGGTTTTGGTTTTTGGTTTTGAGGCTTTTGTGATTGGAATTGTTTTCCTGATTTCTTTCTCAGCAGATTCATTGTTGGTATATAGGAAGGTTATTGATTTTTGTATGTTGATTTTATAACCTGATACTCTGCCAAATTTACTAGCTCTAGCCATCTTTAAGTGGAGTGTTTTGGATCTTCTAAGTATAGGATGATAGAATCTGCAGATAGTGACAATTTGACTTCTTCCTTTCCTATTTTTATCCCTTTTATTTTCTTCTCTTGCCTAATTGCTCTGGCTAGAATTTATAACACTATAGTAAAAGAAGTGCTGAGAGTGGACAACCTTATATCATTCCAAATTTTGAAAGAAATGCTTTCAGCTTTTCCCCATTTACTATGAGGTTGGCTTTGGGTTTTTGATATATAACCTTTATGATACTGAAGTAGGTGTTAAGTCCTTTTTTCTGATTTTTTAAAATAACTGCATAATGCAATAATTATAAATCTATGCTGATGGACATACAATGTACACAGAAGTAATTAGTTACAAGAATAGCATAAAGGCACACTGAGTGGGATGGTGGTGCTCCCCTGTAATTTCAGAGACTTGGGATGCTGAGGCAGGAAGATTGCAAGTTCAAGGTCAGTACCAGCAATTTAGTGAGATACTCAGCAACTTAGCAGGACAGAACCTCAAAATAAAAAATAAAAAGAACTGGGGATATAGTTCAGTGGTAAAGTATCCCTGGATTCAGTCCCCAATATAAAAAAAAAAAAAATACTAGCATAAAAAGGCAAAGAAATGGAGATACACAGGAAAACAGGTTTGGGGGGGGGTAAACTTTTGAAGCTAAATTGGTATTATTACAAACTAGATTGCTCTAAATTAAGATGTTAATTATAATCTCCAAGGCAACCAGTAAGAAACAACCATATAGAAAAAGAAACAACAGGGAAATTAAAATAGTACACTAGAAAATAGCTATTTAACATGAAAGAAATAGTGATGAAAAATTCAGAAGGAATAAAAGATGCAGGACATATAAAAAACAAATAGCAAAATGTTAGCATGGACTCCTGTATTATCAATAATTACATTAAATGAGAACAAATTAAAGACTCGTATAAACATAGCAAAACTTATGAAAAGCTGCAAAATCAATGCTTAGAAGGAAAATTATGGCTATAAATGCTTACATTCACATTTTAAAAGAAGAAAGGTCGCAGATCAACAACTTTTACGCATTTTTTTTTTCAGTCCTAAGGATCAAACCCAAGGTTACTTTACCGCTGAGTTACATCTCCAGGCCTTTCTATCTTGATCCAGTGTCTCACTAAATTGCCCATGTTGGCCTGGAATTTGGAATCCTCCCTTCAGCCTCTCCAGTCGCTGGAGGTGTGCACCACCAGGCCTCATTTAACCTTTAGTCTTACGAAACCAGGAAAAGAGAAAACTCAATCCAAAACAACAAGAAATACTGGAGAAAAAGATACAGGAAATATAAACAAAATAGAGAACAAATAGCAAAGAAAATTAACAAAGCCCAAATTTGGTTCCTTGAAAATATCAACAAAATTGACAAATCTTTAACTAGATTAACCAAAGAAAAAATAAAAAATTCTCAGATGACTAAATTCCAAGAATTAAAGAGAAAACTTAACTGCCACCATGTGAACATTAAAAGGGTCATAAAGGAATACCATGAACAAGTGCATGCCAATTAATGAGATAACCTCGCTGAAATGGACCAATTCTTGGAAACTCACACAACCACCAAAACTGGCTCTAGAAGAAATAGAAAATCTAAATAGAATTATATTAAACAGAATGAGCCAGCAATTATAAAGCTTCCAATAAAGAAAAGCTCAATGACAGAGTGTTTCACTAGTGAATTCAACCAAGCTTTTTTTTTTTTTTTTTTGGTGGAGGGAGGGATGGGGGATCTGGGTTCCACTATGCTGTCCAAACTGGTCTTGAACTCTGATTCAAAATATCCTTTTACCTCAGCCTCCTGAGTAGCTGGGACTACAAGCATGTGCCACCATGCCCAGCTTTTTCTTTTTATCTTCATCCTAGGGATCAAACCCACAGCCTTAGGCATACTACACAAACACTCTACCACTGAGCTACATCCTCAGCTCCTACCAAACTTTTAAAGAATTAATAGCAATTCTTCTCAAACACTTAACAAAAAATAAATAAATAAAAGAGAAGAGAAGAAACAATATTATGCTGATGCTAAAGCCAGACAAAGAAAACAGAAGTAAAAATTGGTGCAACCACTCTGCAAAGCAGTATGGAAACTCCTCAGACAACTTGGAATGGAACCACTATTTGACCCAGTTATCCCACTCCTCAGTATATATCAAAAGGACTTAAAATCAGCATACCACAGTGACTCAGCCACATCAATGTTTATAGCAGCTCAATTCACAATAGCTAAACAATTGTGCAAATCTAGATGCCCTTCAACAGATGAATGAATAAAGAAAATGTGGTATATATACACGATGAAATATTACTCAGTCACAAAAAAAATTACTTTATGACTTTTGCCAGTAAATGGATGAATCTGGAGATTATCATGCTAAGTGAAATAAGCCAGTCTTGAAAAACCAAAAACTAAATGTTCTCTCTGAGATGTAGATGCTAACACACAATAAGGGGGAAGGGGAATAGAAGTTCATTGGGTTACACAAAGGGGAATGAAAGGAGGGGAGATAAAATGGGAATAGGAGAGACAGTACAATGACTCAGACATAACTTTCCTATGTTTATATATGAATACATGACCAGTGAAACGCCACATCATGTACAACCACAAGCATGGGATCCTAATTAGAATAAGCTATACTCCATGTATGGTATAATATATCAGAATCTACTCTACTGTCTTGTATATCTAAAAAGAATGAATTTTAAAAAGACAGCAGAAGTAAAGAAAATTACAGATTAATATTCCTTATGAATATAGATGTAATAATCCCTAACAAAATAATGCAACAGTATATTGAAATATACACTGTAGTCACATGAGATTTATGCCAGAAATGCAAGGATGGTGTCACACATGAAAATCAATCAATGTAATATATCTTACCAATAAATAAAAGGAAAAACAAAACCTGATGTTCTCAATAGACACAGCAGAAACCTTCACCAAAATCTAGCATGCCTTTATCCAAGTGTGATGGTGCATACCTGCAATCACTACTACTCAGGAGGCTGAGCCAAGAGGACCAAAAGTTTAAAGCCAGGCTCAGCAACTTAGTGAGACTCTGTCTCAAAATAAAAAGTAAAAAGAGCTGGGGATGTAGCTCAGTGGTAGAGCACCACTGGATTAAATCCCCAGTACTGAAAGAAAAAAAAAATCTTTCACTATGTCATGTTAAAATACACTCCATTATTTCAAGATAGAACTTCTTCAACTGATAAAGGGCTTCTCTGAAAATCTCACAGCTAACTTTGTATTTAATGGCAAAAAACTGAAATCTTCCCCCTAAGATCAGAATTAAGACAGATATTCACTCTTACTGTTTATTTTCAACATTGTATTGGAAGTTTTAGCTAGGGAAATTAGGCAACAAAAATAAATAAATGGCATCCATATGGAAAGGTAAGAATTAAAAGTATCTCTCTTTGGAGATGACATAATTTTGTTTGTAGAAAAATCTCAAAGAACCCACAAAACACTATTAAAGCCAATATAAAAGCTCAGCAAAGTTGAAGGTATAAGATACAAAATTTTGTTGTATTTTTATATACTAGCATTGAATGATCTGAGATTAATAGAACAATTTTACTTATAATAGAATCAAAAAGGAATGAAACAGGAATAAATTTGATTCACACATTAGAAAAAAGAGCAAGATTTGTATATTGAAAACTATAAATTGTTATTAAGAGAAATTTAAAAGGCCTAAATAAATAGAGGGACATCCCATGTTCATGGATCTGTATGACTTAATATTATTGAGATGTTGTTATTGATTGAATCGCAAGTGTCCTCCAAAAGCTCGTGTGTTGAATGAAGGCTTGGTCCCCAATACAGCAGTATGCAGAGGCAGGGCCTGTGGGAGGTAAATAGATCATGAGGGCTCTGACTTCATGAGTGAATTAATCTATGTATGGATCCATAGCTTATTGGGTTTGGGAGGAGGAGCTTTGTATAAAAGCAGCTTTTTCTTTTCTTCCCAGTCACCTTGAGCTGAGAAGCTTTCCTCTGCCATGTGCTTCTCCCATAATACACTGCCCCCCCATAGGCCCAAAGCAACAGAGCTGAGCAACCTCGACTGAAATCTTGGAAACCATGAACCAAAATAAACCTTCCCTCCCGGTAAGTTTATGTATCTTGTATTTTTTTTTCACAGCAATGGAAAACTGACTAACATAGATGCAAAGTCTCCTTTAACTTAGCTACAGAATCAAGGCATTCCCTAGAAAAATTTCAACTGTCTTTTCACAAAAACAGACAAGCTTCTCTTAAAATTTATATGGAAATGCAAGAGACCCCAAATAGCCAAAATAATCTGAGGGGAAAAAATGATAACGTTTAAGGACCCACACTTGCCAATTTTAAAGCTTACTACAGATGTACAGTTATTAGAACAGTGTGGTATTGGCACAATGATAGACATTCAAATCAATGGAATATAATTTAAAGTCCAGAAATAAATTTACACATCTATACCCAATGGATGCTCAATCAGGGTATAAAGACCATTCAATGGAGAAAAGATACTCTTTTCAACAAATAGTTGAATGGTTAGGACAAATGAACACAACCAAAGGATGGATTTGGATTCTTGACTTAACACCATTTACAAAATTAACTTAAAGTGGATTGTAGACCACTTTAAAGCTTTGTGTGTCAAGGACATAATCCAGAAAGTTAAAAGAGAATCTACAGGGGTGCTGGTAAATTATAAAAGATACACACACACACACACACACACACACACTTCTAAGAGCTCAATTTACAGAAGGCAAACAACTGAATTAAAATTGGTCAAAGAGTTTGTCTTAGGCCATTGTCTGTTCATACAAATGAATACCACAACCTCAGTAATTTATAGAGATATAGGTTTATTCAGCTCTCATTCCTGAGAATGGCTGTATCTGGTGAAGGACATTGCTACTGAAGACTCTCTGCTGAGTCCCAAGGTAGGACAGGGCATCACATTCAAGAGACAGAGCCAAAACTGGCTTTCAGACCAGATCTCCTTTCAAGATAATCCATTAACACACGAATCCATGAATCCATTAGTCCATAACCTAATTATATCTTAAGGTCTAACCTGGTGCCACCTCTAAATGTCCCACAATGATGTTAAATTTCAACCTGAGTTTTGATGGGGACATTCAAACTACAGCCAACTTAAATAGGCATTCTTCCAAAGAAGAGATACACATGGCCAAGAGGCACATGAAAAGGTGTTCAACATTAGTCATTAGGGAAATGCAAATCAAAACCACAGTGAGATACTACTTCACACCACCAGGATGTCTATCATTTCAAACATGTGTGTGCCCGCGCGAGTGCGTGTGCATACACACACACACACACAATAACAAATGTTGGCTAGCAATTAAAATGTTAGAACTCTTATACAGTACAGTGGGAATGTAATGTGGTTCTGCTACTATCTGGTGGTTCCTTAAAAAGTTAAACAGAGAATTGCCATATGACAAAGAAATTCCATCTCTGAACTATATACCTGGGAGGACTAAAATATATGTTCACTGGAAACTTTAAAATCTTTTTTTTTAATGAATGAGAATTTCAATATTTATTTTTCAGTTTTTGGTGGATACAACATCTTTGTATGTGGTGCTGAGGATCGAACCCAGGCAGCACGCATGCCAGGCGAGCGCGCTACCGCTTGAGCCACATCCCCAGCCCACTTTAAAATCTTTAGACCAATATTAATAGCAGCATGATTTTTTTTAAATAAATGAAATATAACTTCTCATTCTTCTGGTTGCACATGATGTAGAATCACACTGGTCATGTAATCATATATGCACATAAGGTAATAATGTCTGATTCATTCTACTCTTCCTCCTATTCCATTATCCACTCCCTTCCCTTCACTCCACTTTACCTAATCCAAAGTAACTCTATTCTTACATAACTCCAACCCTTTATTGTGAATTAGCATCTGCATATCACAGAAAACTTTCAGCCTTTGATTTTGGGGGGATTGGCTTATTTCACTTAGCTTGATATTCTCTAGCTCCATCCATTTACAGGCAAATGCCGACATTTCCTTATTCTTTAAGGCTAAGTAATATTCCATTGTGTATATGTACCATGTTTTCTTTATCCATTCATCTGCTGAAGGACATCCAGGTTGGTTCCACAGTTTAGCTATTGTGAGTTGAGCTGCTATAAACATTGATGTGGCTGCATTATATCCAAAAAGTGAACATAATCCAAATGTCTATCAGTCAATGAGTGGATAAACAAAATACAGTATACCATACAATGAATAAATAATACTCTATTAATTATTATTCAATTACTCATTTTTAAAACTATTTTTGAGTTGTCAAAAGATATTTATTTTATTTATTTATATGTGGTGCTGAGAACAAACCCAGGGCCCCACACATGCCAGGCAAGCACTCTACCACTGAGCCACAACCCCAGTCTTATTCATTTCTTTTTGATGACTGTATTTGGGGAAATTTTAGATCCAAACCGTAACAGGGAGTGACTGTGAAAGGATACAGAATTTCTTTAGGGGACGGTGGAAATCATCTGGAATTAGTGACAGTGATTGTGCTTGTCTAGCATGAGCAAGGCCATGGGTTCAACCTCCAGAACCACAAAAATTAAAAAAAATAAAATAAAACTTTAAAAAAGGTGCCTCAATAAAAATATTGCACAATATAAAATGTGTATATATATATATATATATATATATATATATATATATATGGATTTGAACTAGATAGATGTTTCTTTTCTCACAATGAAAAACCTTGAGCTCTGAAGAGATACTAGATCTGCTCCACACTGTCCAGGACCCACCACTTTGGCCTCCCTAGGTGGGGATCATTCTTCTGGTCCAAGGTGCCATCCTTGTTCTAGGTACCAGAATGCAGGAAGTTTCAGAGAAGGGACAAAGGACACAAATTTTTCTTAAGTAAAATTCCAAGAATCGTCTCATAGCATGTGCACTCACTTCTCATTAGCCGGAATGTAGCCACAGGGCCATGCTCAGAAGAAGGGAGGCTGGAAATCCAGGCTTATTTATAATTTCAGCTACCATGTGACCAGCTTGAAATGCTACTAATTCTACTATATGGAAGAGGGGATGAATGGAAAATTAAAGGTTGTCTTTACTGCCCCAGGTAACCTGCATACAAAAGGGACCTAAGAGCCCTAAAGACAGGTCCTAGCATGACAGTTATGGAGGAGGCCTAGATAGCCATTCCACATTAGACCAATGACAGTCTAGAGGAGACTTTTTGGGGGGTTGGGATACTTAGGATTAAAAAGAGAGGTGCTCTATGCTGAACTACATCCCCAGTCCTTTTTATTTTTTATTTTGAGACAGGGTCTTGCTGAATTTCTGAGGCTGGCCTCAAACTTGAGATCCTCCTGCCTCAGCCTCCTGCATACTCAGGATTACAAACATGTGCCATCCATTTCTGACTCAAGAGAGATGTTTTTGGTGGGGAAAAAAAAAGTAGAACTAAAAGATTAGGTGGTATGTTTGATCCCATGAGAGGCATGTGGTTCTAACAGAGAGTTTGGGGGAGAATTGGTGATAGGTACTTAGACAACAAAATGTATTTTTAAAGATAATCTTTGTGAGACAGTGAGCACACGCCTGTATTACCAGCGACCTTGGAGGCTGAAGCAGTGGGATCTCAAATTTGCCAGGCATGGTGACACATATCTGTAATTCCAGTGGCTTGAGAGGCTGAGGCAGGAGGATCTCAAGTTCAAAGCCAGCCTGCCTCATCAATTCAGCAAGGCCCTAAGCAAATTAGTGAGATTGTGTCTCTAAATAAAAAATAAAAGGAAGGAAAAAAGGACTGGAGAAATTGTTCAGTGGTTAAAAAAAAAAACACTTGGATTCAATCCCCAGTATAAAAAAAAAAGGCAATCATTAATCCTAAGAATACTGAAATACTGTTGTCTTTAAAAGAAATCGTTAGGGCTGGGGCTGTGGCTCAGTGGCAAAGCACTTGCCTGGTACGTGTGAGGCACTGGGTTCGATCCTCAGCACCACATAAAAATAAATAATAAAATAAAAGTATATTGTGTCCATATATAGCTAAAAAAAATATTTAAAAAAGAAAATTTGGGGCTGGGGTTGTGGCTCAGTGGTAGAACGCTCACCTAGCATGCTTGAGTCACTGGGTTCGATTCTCAAGCACCACATAAATAAAATAAAGATATTGTGTCCACCTAAAACTAAATAATAAATATATACAAAAAAAGAAAAGAAAACATTATTTTAGTATGCTCCATGTATTAATTGCACAGTCAATTACACACCAGACTGGTGTAATGGTGCATGCCTATAATCCCAGTGACCTGGGAGGCTGAGGCAGGAGGATCACAAGCTTGAGGCCAACCTGGGCAGTTTAGCCAGGTTCAAGGTTTGATCCCCAGCATCATACACACACACACACACACACACACACACACACACACCAGATTCCTGCATATACTAGGAGATATGTTGGGGGAGTGCTAAGTGCTAATTCCTCATTTTACACTATTCAAAGTCAGGCAATTTCTATAGCTGAAGATTGAGAAATAACAGTATACAATTAATATTAAGAAACATGGAGGAAAATGGCAAGCAAACCAGCTAAGAAGTTGAAAGTTATTATCTTAGCTAGAAAGGGATAGTATCTTGGATAGAGAGTGATACGAACAGGTATTTTCTGCATAAGCCTTTGATTCTTAAAGCAATGAACATAAACACTTTTTGATACTTTTCTGGGATACCAGGTATTAAACCCAGGGTCACTTACCCACTGAGCCACATCTCCATCCCTTTTTTTTATGTTTTATTTTGAGGATCTCACTAAGGATCTCACTAAGTTGCTTAGGGCCTTGCTTAATTACTGAAGCTGGTCTCAAATTTGCGATCCTCCTGCCTCAGCCTTGTGAGCTGCTGGGATTACAGGTATGTGCCATTGTACCCAGGGATACATTTTATTAAAGGATTAATGAAAGTTTTCATTCAAAAATCTGCTTCCCCAGTCAAAACTTTATAAACCTCAATATAAGCAATAGGAGTAATAGTACTTATGCCAAATGGATTATACACCAGACCTGTATTTTGTAAATTTTTCTGTCTCCACCAATTAAATTCTTTTCAAGGTCTCAAGTAATAATATTAGGTACAGAAGAAATATCATTTAATGTTTGTACTTCTTTGAATGTCTTATACTTGCCACTCTATTTTTTTAAATGTCTTTCTTAACTATTGTCTCAACATCAAATTTTCCACTGAATCAGACTCTATGAATAATTCATGGTGGTGAAATAAATGGGATTAGTGACTCTAGCTTTCAGAGTCTACAAATCTCATCATTAGGAAAAATGTAGTTTTCCAATGCCAATCCCCTGGGAAAAATGACCCAGCTGACAGCTAGCTGGTATTCAGACTCTGTGATCCAATAGTTTCAGTGCATGTAGGTCATGTCATCCAGGGGGATGTTACATCTCCCAACAAGGTGGCTGGCTTCCTTGGGCTCATTCCAGTGCTTGCCACCATATAGTCTCCTAACCTATCTCTTTATTTTCAGCAGCCACATCTCTGGTCTCAGATGCTTTGTAGAAACAGCCTCATTATCTGTAGTGTTGTAACAGCAGTTAGAAACCGAATGACATTCAATTAAAATGATATTAGCAGCTCAGGAGTGATTTTGTTTAATTTACTCCTACTCAGATGTAAAAACATTAGCGACTTTTTTAATTGGACCTCATAATGTCTAACTCCTACTCAGATGCAATGAAATTAAAGACTTTGGTGCCTAAATACCGCTTAATTTACTCCTACCCATCTATAATGACATTAAAGATGCTTTAGGGTAGATATTGTTTCCAATCAATTTTATTCAAAAGAAATCTGAGCTCACAGGTACTATTATTAAGCACATAATAAAATCACACAAGAAATATATCTTTACAATTGGGGATAGGGTGGTTTCTAGTAATATTAAAAAGTAATCATTTTCATTTTAATGCAAGGATATTAAAAAGTAATATCTTAAATACGGGATTTGGTAAAGTTTCCAATTGTTTAAGCAAATATGTGATTCCCAGTCTGTTAAAGAAATGTGCATTGTTACATCTATATGTATAATTTATTGAAAGTACATTTTATTCAATTATAGCATGTGATTGACTTACACTTCATGAGAAATTTTACCTTAAATATGCCTTACAGAAAAGCAATTTTCTTGTGATTCTAATGTTAATAATTTTTAAGACCTTTTTCTTGTATGAGTTTAAAGAATGATTATTTTTTGAACCTTTATTTTCCTACAAAGTCTGTTTTTAAATACAACAAAACTTTGAGTCTATATATGCTTGGGATAGAGCAGTTATTCAGCAAATAGTTGTTAAAAGGTGGAATAAAAATTATTATCAATAATAGTAGCTAATATTCACAACACCTCTAATGTGTGCCAAATAAGATTCTAGGCACTTGAAATGTATTAAGTGACTTATTTCTTCAAATTAGGTAATATTACACAATATTGCTAGTTTATTGGATGTGAAACAATGAAACAAAAAATGATGAAAAAATAAAGTGTTGTAATGTCTGGATGGATGGATAAATGAATGGATGGTGCTGTTACAATTCTTTGGGTTGCCTTTAGTTTGGGAAGCCTTTGAAGCACTTATAAACTCACACTCTAAAATGTGAAATTCTCCCCCACAGAATTAAGAAAATCCGATGGTAAAATTAGCAAGTGTGCAATGGGCACAGAAATGCTTGTAAATATTATCTACGTATACAGAGATAGTTCAGTCCAAAAATACAGTTTTCTTTACTTGGGTATTTAGGATATGAACAGAGTCTCTCTGCAGCTAAAAAGACCTGGTCAAAACTTGTGATGTGCTCACAGGTTCTCACAGCAATGGAGGAGCAGACATCTAGTCTCTCCAGTACTGCTTTGGCCAAAATGCATGGTTTCTCTCAGGCAGATAGGCAGAGGCTAGGTTAAGATGTTTTAATGGCAGATGTCAAGGTAGTTGTATAGCAGCCTGAGTTTGAAACCTCACTCTGCCACTTGGTGGTTTGATCTTTAGCAAGATTTTTTATTCTTTTGTCCTAGTTTCCTCATCTCAATGAGAACAATAAACCCCTGTGTCTTCCCAAATATACTGCTCAATTATTTATAATCCCTATGTTTTTGAATGTCATTCAATTTATTTATAAGTGTTTGATCCAGACTCTTAGGAATCATCCTAGATCTCTTTCCCTCTTTCTCTTTCTTCCCACATCCAATGACTCATCACCCAATCTATTTTAGCTCCTATTACTTGGAGCATCTTAACTGCAATAAGACACTATAGAATATGTAAGTGACAAAGGCAGTTGTCCACCACCTTCACTCTCCCAACATTTACAGAGTTCCTGCCTTTTGTCAGAAGATTCTAGGATGCTAGGGCTATGGGTATGATGAATTTGGTCTCAAGGAGCTTCCTATACAATGGGAGAGATAAACAATAAAATAGTGGATTACAATGTAACATGAAAGGTGCCTTACAGTACTACAACAAGAGGACCATATCTCATTGCAGGTCATGTGAATTAGGTGTGCCTCGGCTGCATGTAACAGAGCACCCAACTACAATGATTGCACTGAATATGGCTTTACTTTCCTCAAATAACAAAATGTGCAGAGGTAAGTGACCCAATTCTGCTACATTAACTCATGGAATTTGTCTCTTAGACCATTCTAATTTCCTGTTTGGCTAGGATATGGCCTTTGTCCTCATGATCAAAAAAAAAATGTAGAAATACAAATTTTACTTTCCCAAAGCTGCTTTTATTTAAAGTACTTAAAGATGGGGATAATGTAAGCACTTTATTGAACAGTTTTATAAATGTATTTTCCTATATCACACAAATAACTACATTTCAGGATTAGCCTCCACAAATAATTTAATAGGTCTGTTACTCTGTGAGTATTTAAAAAAAAATCATGTCAGTTGCATAGATACCACATCCAAGTATAGCCTCTACAACCAAGAAAGGGAAAAATTGGAAAGATCTCCAAACCCCCTTCTCCGCATCTTATAGAAATTCCATAAGTGACTAGTATCTTTTCTAGCAAACTAGTAGGCTGCCAAGGGTGACAACAGTTTCATATGCTTGTAGTTAAAATTACATTGATTTACACCTTTACAAAATTTGTTTAATACTTACTAAATTACCTGCTGGGGCTTTGGTGAGTAATTATTGATTACTTGTTCAAATGTGAATAGAAATGATTTTAAAATAACTAAATTTTCAATATTTTAATGTAATTATATTTATACAGCTATGACAATCATTTTTACAAAATTATTTTCATGCCAAGATTTTCTTTGAAGTACCTGGATTACTATTGAATAAACAGCTCCTTCATTTCAACATAGAATATAAAGATTTGCTCAATAACAAGGTACTACATAATGAATTAATGCCAAAATTAAGTGTCCAGTATTATTCTGACTGTCATGGTAAATGCTCACTGGGATATGCAGACATTTAAAGTTGGATCAAAGGGGTAGTTTTGAGGGTGTCAGTCTAAATTCTAGGATTAATAGTCATCACTGTCTCCCATGTGATCTCTGAGCAACATATGCTTTTCTCAGTCTACAGAGGCACAAGCTCCAATTACCCCCAATCATACTCCCAAGAGAATGTTATAGTTTAAATACACACATGCAGCTGGGTGCAGTGGTGCAGTTCTGTAATCCCAGTGGCTCTGGAGGCTGAGGCAGGAAGATTCCAAGTTCAAAGCCTGCCTCAGCAATTCAGCAAGGCCTTAAGCAACTTAATGAGACCCTGTCTCATTAAAAAAAAAATTATAAAGTATACCAATACAATCTCCAAATTTTATGGAAATCTAACCAGCTTTATCCACACAGTCTTAAAAAACAGAGTGAAACAATGTTCTTTGCTTGGATAAAAGTATATGTTGTGGTAAAGATACAATAAAAAGATATCCACAGAGAAAGAGGATAATTTGGAAAAGTCAAGAACTAGTTTTGCCTCTTTTTTTATTGTTAGTTTTGCTTCTTTTAAGAGTAATGATTCATTATTTTTTAAAAGATCATGATTGCAGTGTTGACCATGAACTGTAGCCGTGAGAAATAAGACCAACAAAAATCAAACTAACATAAGAAATTATATACGTAAGGATGATATTGTTGGAAACAACAATGTGTGTTTCTTTGTGTGTAAAGGGACAAATTTTTAAACACAGTAATAGTAGGAGGAGGAGCAGAAGTGCCAGTGATAGTAGCAGAATCAGTGGTGGTAGGAACAGCAGTGGTGACAGTCGTGGTAGGGTTAGGAGAAGCAATGATGTCAGGGTAGGGTAGTAATTCACCATGACAGTGGGAACGTGTTCCCCTAGTGCTTTTGGTTCATTTATTATTTTGGCACCATCAACACTTCCACAGTGATTTCTTGGGTTCCCAAGAAGATCCTTTAATTCTGAAAATTATCTGCCATTTCCTTCCTATTATGGACTGAATGTTGGTGGCTCCCCAAATTCACATATTAAATTCTTAATCTCCAGAGTGATGATATTTGCAGGTGGGACCTTTGCGAAGTAACGAGGTTTAGATGAGGTCATGAGAGGGGGTCCCCCCATAAAGAGATTAGTGGCCTTACGAGAAGAGGAAGAGAGAGAGAAGGGCAGTTCCCTGGCCCCATGTGAGGACACAGTGAAAAGACAACCTCCTGTGACCCAGGAGGAGAGCCCTCACCAGGACCCAAATTTAAAGTACTTAAAGATGGGGATAATGTCAGTACTTTATTGAACAGTTTTATAGATGTATTTTCCTGTGTCACACAAATAACTACATTTCAGGATTAGCCTCCACAAATAATTTAATAGGTCTGTTACTCTGTGAGTATTAAAAAAAAAAAAATCTTGATCTTGGACTTCTAGCCTCCAGGTCAGTAGACAGTCTGCTGTGTGATCCACCCAGCCTGTGATATTTTGTGATAGCAACCCAAGCTGACTCACATCCCTCCTCTCTGGCTCTCTTGGCTGTGGGTGAGAGCTAGGCTTCCAAAGTTCACAAAGGCCCAGTTGACAGCTGCTGTACCTGCTGTGGGAGTGGGAGTGGACACCCTCAGAGGTCAGGGTTTTACAGTCACATGAGTCCTATAGCAAAATCTGATTCTGTTACCTGAATTCTCTAGTCACATGCTCCCAGAGAGACATCTGGTATTTTTCAGCCAATTACAGTTCCCTTTTTTTGTACTGAGGATCAAACCCGGGGCCTTGAGCTAAGCAAGTGCTGTAGCGCTGAGCTGCATCTCCAGCCCTGGGGTTCCTTTTGAGCTAAAACCCTTCTCCCTAGGAATCGGGCACAAGTCCACACAGGCTGGGTCAGAAGATAGCCAACCCTGCCTTGCCTTTGCTCAGGTAACTTAGTGCTTTTTTTCAAAGTCATGTCCTGAAACTGTCCAAGCACTTAGCATATGGAGGGCCCCTAATACAATGACGGTTAATGGAATCAATGAGCACACAAGCCTTAATTTTGAAAAGGCTCTTTTTTCTTACCTAGGAGATTCTTCGGTGCCTAGCAGGGAGTTGTTTGTAAGGTAAGAGGATGTGTATTATCAGGTCCATTTCACAGAGAAACTGAGGTGTGGAAAGGTTCTGTCTCACATAGCTTTTCATGTATATGTGTAAAGCATCTCATGCCATTTGATTTGCCTTAAACAGATGTTTAGTTCAGTATTTATTCAGGGAAATGCGGTGGGGGGCGGGGGAAGCAGCATCAGTGACAGTCTAAAAAGATTAAAAAATAAGTTTATGGTAAAAAAAAAAAAAGTTCAATTTTTGAAAATCCATGACTACACTCTCCCACCCAAGAATGCCCAAGGGCACTCAAGCTATTTACTTCTCCTTAGAATAGGAAGAGAGGGAGAGCCTTGTACAATTTCCCACACTGCCTGACCCGGCAAGCTTTTCCAAGGAGAAAGAGACTCTCTGTCAGCCTCTGGGCTGCTTTCTATGCATGTCCTCTGAATGCTCAATTGTCGGGCAGGATTCCAGGGTATATAAATATATAATTATACTGCATTACAGAAGCCAAATAGGTTCGGTTTTTTGGTGAGAATCTGTTTTCTTATGATCCTCAATTTCAAGACAAATGGTTAAAACTGGATTTATAATGCTTTGTGGAAATACAAATTTTAATTTCTCAAAGCTGCTTTCATTTAAAGTGCTTAAAGATGGGGATAATGTAAGTACTTTATTGCACAGTTTTATAAATGTATTTTCCTGTGTCACACAAATAACTACATTTCAGGATTAGCCTCCACAAATAATTTAATGGGTCTATTACTCTGAGAGTATTAAAAAAAAAAATTCATGGCACTTCCATAGATACCAGCCTTTTAAGATTTCCTTAATAAACTGGAAACAGCTTCACAGAGGAGGAGGTCTCCCTGTGCTTCTTTTCAATGTTATGTCCATTCCCAGGTTTTCATGATTCATTTGTCAGTGATGGTCCTATAGGACTTGGTTTCAGGAGAGTGCTTTGACCAGAGAATTTTAAAATCTTGATATATTATCCTCAGGCACCCTCACTTGCATGGAAAATACATGAACAGAGGAGTTAAAGTCACCCAGGCCACGGCAGATATCAAGCCGGAAGTAAGGTTTCCTGACTCCTTGACCCATGTCATGGTTACCAGATTCACTTACTATTCTAGTAAGCAAAGACATTGTATTCATCTATATGATAAATGTATATCACAGGTCTTCAGCAACTATGAAAGACCATGAAAGTCCTATTTTCATAGTTGCCCTATTGAAGCTGTCGCAGTTCGATGGCCTTTGGCCTCCTACTGTGGGTCTGCAGGGTCCTCCCACGCCTGGCCTGGCTTCCTTTCTTTTCATCTCCATCCTTCTTGAAAGTTGAAACTCCCATCTTTGAAGGCCACGCTGGCACTTTACTACGGGAACCTCTGTCTTCTAAACGCAAGAGACACCAGGAGAGAGCAGCCCTGCAGCAGAAGGCTGTGTCTCCAGGGAGTCCACCCCAAGCTGGGCAGTTGGCAGACCAGATGTTACAAGGCTTTGGCATCAGGAGTTAAAGCAACCAAGAAACAGTTTTGCTCTGTTTAACTTTTTTTACCGCTCATCTTAGAAATGGTGATGGCACAAAGCAGGGGACAGAAAAAGAGAAAAGGAAATATTATATGTCAAGAGTTTTGTAATGTTTTGAACAACCAATAAAACAAGAGAGAGAGAGAAAAGGAACAGTAACCATCTAGACAGGGTTGAATTTTTTTCTTATAACTGAGATTTTTTGTGGTCAAAGTTCATACTTAGAGGCCCTTTCCCCAACCAGATGTTTTCTCTCCTTTCTCCAAGTTCTGCTGGTGTCCTGCTTATGCTTTTATTGCAATGTTTACATTGTTTTTATGACACAGTCATTTCAGTACCTTTTGTAGGTCTCTTGATAGACTGGAAGCTTCCGGAGAAAAGGAACCAGAGCTTGAGACCTCTGTGCTCCCATGTCACCAAGCTTGAGACCACATCCATAATGTGCAGTGAAGACTTGTCCAACTGAGATTTGCTAGTTCACTTACAAAATATTTTGGCTATATATGTCCCCCTAGAAGCCACCAGTGATTCACTTAGAGTCTGAAGTAAATGCTGAAGAAAAAAAAAAAAGTAGATGGATA